ATATATATATCGCATTCTATATATATATATCTCCAATATTTTATATATATATATATATATATATATATATATATATATGAAACATTTTGAAATTGTGTATGTATGTGTTTGTATATTTGCCTACATTTGTTGTGTGGTAATTGGGGCTGGATTCACTATGAAGCAAAATAAGCACGTGCTTAAGGCACCAAGGGAAGATGACTCTATTGAAATTGTAATCATATGACGTTGTATATGTCTAAATAAATAAGTCAAACATGATTAACATTTGAATCAACGGGGTGCCATTATGTACGAGGTGACAACTAACTCGCAGTGAATCTTTATTGCCATTCTGATTGGTTAATAAGGGAATGAGCTCAGATAGATAATAAGGTTTTGATTTACTCAATGCATCATATCAGCTCTCTTGCATAAGTTAGTATATGACTAATTAACTTAATGGAATTTAATTTCAGGGAACAGGGATAGACTACCTTCATGTTCGTTTGACATTATGCTAACTATATGTTTATGTGACACGCTAGTTTGTTGATTACACGACTACTTCTGGTCACAGTTTGGTTGTGGCTTATGTGACAGGAGATGCTCAATTGAGGCTATTTATAAACTATAGAATTAATCCAAATACTAAAAACACTAAATTCCTATAACGAAACGATAGCCTCACTTGATGCTGAATTTTTTTTACCAATGTACCAGTTAGAAAAACGATTGATATAATTATGAGAAATATATATAATAATCCATCTCTCTCTCCATTTAAAAATTAGGCCCAATATATTACAGAAACTACTTTTAACGTGTACTACTGAAGTTCTATTGCTTGACCACAAAAGCACTATATATGTATAATGTGACAGTGTTTCCATGAGTTCAGTTCTGATTCTAACCATTAGTAACTTATATATATATATATATATATATATATATATATATATATATATATATATATATATATATATATGAAAGTGTGTGTATATAAATATAAATTTATATTTATATATAATTATTTATTTATTATATGCGGGTACTTATTAGAAAGCGCTCAATATCAGAGATAAAGCTAACATATTTGGTTGATTGATGAGTTTAGACCTGGATTTCACACGCTTGCGATCGTCAGACAAACTCACGATCGCAAAAAGCGTGAAACCCTGGGTCACAAACTCACATAAATCTAACTATATATATATATATATATATATATATATATATATATATATATATATATATATATATATATATATATATATATATATGTAGGATTGAGGAATCAGAGAGCCGAGGCGAGTTCGAATTCCAGTCGAATCCATTACATTCCCTTACGTGCTAATACCCTTGGGAAAGGTATGAATCCTCTTCTTCTACCTCCAGCTATGGGTAAATAGCAGTACAAACTGGGTTCTATAGACCTGGATGGAAACTGGTCTAGGAGAATGATAACTCTGAATTCAAAACCTGCAGAGGGTTATTTGGGGATCTTGTAACCCGTAATGCACCAGGTCTCTGTATTCGGCCATTCAAAAAGTGTGGTTGGTTCTGCACAGAGCCTTCACCATTATAATCAAATCATATGTGCTGGTGTCTAGGCTGTTGGTTTCTAGGAACTGACATGCTTGACCCTCATAAATCGAATACGACGAGAGAGTCCACTATATATATATATATATATATATATATATATATATATATTTTAATCGATTTGGGTGCATCGAGGTAATGGTTATCAATTACGAATGAGTTTGTGAGTTCGGTCCTTACTGGGTGTTCCATACTTTCGGCCTTGTGGCACATCTCAGCTACGCTTGGAAAATTACTATATATTAATCGATTTATTTATTTTTTTGATATTTAAGCAAATATTTTTTAAATATAGTTTTTTTTTCTACCCATAAAGAAACGGACTGCTCCACTATTTTAACTCGGTCATAAATATATATTTTCATTTTTACAATGTAAAGTTTTTAAGACACAATTTACAATTACCTTGTGTTTAAACTCAGAGTTGTGTTAAACTGATGAAGAAAATGTATATTTATCATTATTATTATTAATAGTATATATATATATATATATTTTTACATAAATTTCAAAATTTCAACATTTCAACATACAAATGCGTATGTATAGACACAACACCACCCGTATACATACATATGTCATATCCGAAACTGCCCACATATGTTTATATATGTACGAGTCCCGACGGACGACCAAGTATGTATATGTGTCTGCATACATCGATGTTTGCGTTAGTACGATGACATAAGCGACGAAGTTTCCCCCACCACTTCCACAATAACACCAATACACGCAATCTACATAAACGCCAATTTTTTAAAAAATGTATCAGTTTGTCTGACGATCGCTAAAGCGTGAAACCCAGGGTCACAAACTCACATCTATCCAACCCAATATATATATATATATATATATATATATATATATATATATATAGAGAGAGAGAGAGAGAGAGAGAGAGAGATGAAAGGCCGTACCACAGTCAAAGTCAAAGAGAAGACATTAGTGAGGCGACAATAGAATAAAAGAACAGTTATTAAGGAAGACAGAAGTTGGTGATTAATTTTGCGTTCAAACTTTTGACGATCATGGATGACGGTGAAACAAGAAATTGGAACAGATGTCTACAGGCGAAAAGTGCGATAAAGTAAACTATTAGAATGTTACTTACTGCTACATTTAGCTATTTCAACAGTAAAACGATCAGTCTTAGTTGTCATTCTAGTCAGTCAGTCATGTGCCATGCGTGATACACGCTTAGGCGATCATGTATCTTTCGATATATGACTGACGAGGCAGAGTTTTTTTCCCGCAGTAGGTTGCAATTTCTTTCTGCTGTAGACCATTTACCGTCCAAGGCTATAGAATTCGGTCTATCCTGCTACTTACCCATAGCTAGTAGGTTTAGGGGAAGAAGAGGATTCATACCTTTCGCAAGTGTATTAGCACGTAAGTGAATGTAATGGATTCGACTAGAATTCGAACTCGGCTCACCGATTCCTCAATCCACCAATCTAGTAGTACACTTAAATTCATGCGGTCTAAGTGCCATGGAAGATAGCTTATGAAAATAATTTCTATGAAAATATTCTTTACAAAAGACGGAGGGAAGGTAAGTTACAGCGGTAAGAATGTAACTGAAGACGAAAATGCCAGGTTAGGACCAAATGACTCTAGAAGCAATAGTTTTGCAGCCATAAAACGTCTTTCGACAGGAGTCGCTACGAGAACAGCACCAGGTTATAGCAATATATTTTGCATAACAAATTTCGATTTAATAGATTCCTCATTGTTGAATAAAAAACTGTCAAAAAAAAAAAAAAAGGCGAAAACATGTAAACAATGCCACCGGAAAGTGGGTCGTGATAAGATGGGAACTTAAACCATATATTATCTTCCTTGAGCAAAACCGCCACCTTAATAATCCGATCTTGTTAACAAGAATATGTATTGCTGCTTCTTTTAGCTCCCGACTGAAAAGAAAGAAAAAAACTTGAGAATATTTCATAATTTTGAATATTACTACCTCCTTAAATGTGGAGAAAGCGGTGGTACAAGTGATCACCTCGAAATAAGTTGAAGAACAATTTAAACATATCTTTCGTCATTTGGTGATCAACTTTCACTGAGAGTAATGCTAAAGATGCTGCAAAGATCGGAAATTTAAACGCCGGTCTATGATGTACATATTGTAGATTTTACAAGTACACGCATATACTTGCTGCTGGAGTATTACGGATATTATGTTGGAACACTTTCAATTAGAGAGCTTATGTGAAATGAAAAGTAGAATAGTGGAAAATTTTGGGAAAATGCGTGTATCTCAGCCACCAAACAGAACAAAATAGATACAATGTGTTAATAAATTTCTAAATGATTATATACTACAAAAACTAAAAATTTAAAATGGATCTGCCCCCTCCCCCCGACTACGCCCCACTAAATTTAACAAGATGGTTTTATTTACAGTTCAAACCTGGTAGATTTTTTCTCCCCGAAATTTCTCGTTTTTCTTTTCTGTTTATGAGGAAATAAGAAATTTCTTTTTATATGTTCGAATAAAAGTAATATGTCTGTTTGAGTGATCCTGACAGCCGACTTTTTTTTCTTTCTTTTTGCAAGAAACCGCTTTTTATTTAACTAAACCTGTCTTATGAGATCGACAGTTATATATATATATATATATATATATATATATATATATATATATATATATATATATATATATATATATACACACACATAAATATATATATATATATATATATATACACACAAATATATATATATATATATACACACGCACAAATATATATATATATACACAAATATATATATATATATACACAAATATATATATTATATATATATATATATATACAAATATATATATATACAAATATATATATTTATATATATACAAATATATATATATATTTATGTAAAATATATATATATATATATATATATATATATATATATATATATATATATATATATATATATATATATATTATTAACTTTTTTTCCCTCCGAGATATTGCAGGGACCATATTTAAGAAAAAAAACGCTTTTTATTTCTGATTTTTTGCTTTTACCTTTTTTAATATTTTATTTCTTTTTCTCATCTGTTTTACTCTTCTCTTGGCCCTTTCACTTGTTTCTGCATCCGCCCCCAACCCAGGTTCATCGCCTGAAATATTTTCTTTTTATCCTTTTAATTCATTTTGATCTTTCCCTCCGGTATTTCAACTCAGATTATCATCTCCACCGCCATTTTCTTAAACATACTTTCGATGTCTTTATAATGTGTTTCCATTCTTTAAAATTTCCTTTTGTGTACAACTCACTTTTTCTACACTTTCTTTTTTTGTGGTTTCGCATTTTCGAAATTTACTCACTCTAAGTTTTTTTTTTCATTTTTAATCTTTATTTATTTTGAAATTTCTCGTTTTTTTTCATTTTTCTATTTTAAG